CTGTATCATGCAGAAGTGCCGTGTGGAATCTAGGAGATATTTTAGTGGAAAACCAAATGTAATACATGCTCCTTACAACAAACAGCAAATTGATTGGTTATTTCTAAACAATGATTTGTGGGCAATTGCTTTTGCTCAGTTCTCATGGAAAAATTGAAAATGAGTTTCCAGCTCATAGACTGTTAAAATTTACACTAATGTATCCTTTTATGTTCCCCAAAATTGTAAAGAGTAATCCTATATAAAATGTGGTTAGTATCTACTGATGGTTCCTCTAATGGGAGAGCAGCTGATGTTATAGATAGCAAATAATATGTAGAGCAAACCGCTCCAGCTTCAACTCAGATAGTCGTGTCATGAGCTGTTGCAAGGGTTTTTCAGCTTCCAGTAATAGATTCATTTAATTTATATACTGATAGTCATTATGTTGCTGTTCAAGTAATAGAGCCAGTTCCATGCATTGGAAGCAGTAGTGATTAGGATAGAATATTGTTTGAACAAATTGAAAATGCAATTTATCTTAGACAATTGCAGTGTTTTGTGGGTCACATAAGAGCTCATTCAAACCTTCCCAGCCCACTGGCTGAAGGGAATGAGTCATTGGATAGATGAACAAAATTGGCCTCATTGTCTCAGGTAGAAGGGGCTCAGCAGTCTCATAACTTTCATCATCATAATAGCAGAAGTCTAAGAAAGCAATTTGGTTTAACTAGAGATACTGCTTGTCAAATTGTCAAACAGTGTGATGCGTGCCCATGATATTTACCTGTAACTAGTTTAGGAGTAAACCCTAGAGGCCTATTTCCTAATCCTTTGTGGCAAATGGATGTTACTCATATTGCAGAATTTGGAAGTTAAAATAAGTGCACATGGCCATTGATATGTATTTTGGCTTCTTCATGGCCATTGCACAAACTGGAGAAGCCACTAAGCATGTGATAAGTCACTGTTAAATATGTTTTGCTTACATGGTACCCCAGAGAAGGGGAATGAGAGAGGATGTCCTGAATTGATTGGGAGCATTGTGGGAGTGGAGAGGGTGCTGGGAGAAGGAGAGGGCATGAAGAGAAGAGGAGAAGATGACATGGTGAGCAGAAAGGCTGAATCAGGACAGAATAGAGGAGAGCAGGAATAGAGATGCCATAACAGAGAGAGTCTTTATAGGTTTGAGAAGAGATCTGACACTAGTGAAATTTCCAGATGTACAAGGATGACACAAACTGGCAATCTAAGCAATAGTGGAGAGCCTACTTTAAATGTCCTTACCGGATAATGAGATTGATGACTGCCTTAGATGCCATCTTAAAGCCTTCATCCAGTAGCTGATGAAAGCAGACGCAGACACCCACAGCTAAACACTGACCTGAACTTCTGGAGCCCAGTTGCAGAAAGGGAAGAGTCATTAGCAAATGTGTCAAGACTGGACTGGTGACACCTACAGACACAGCTGACCTGAACAAAGGGAAGCTCAGGGACCCAAGACTGAGGGCTGCGAGGCCAGCATGGGACTGATCCCTAAATGTGGGTGTCAGTGAGGAGACCTTGATAATCTACAGGACTTTGGGTAGTAGATCAGTATTTATCTCTGGCATACAAATGGATTTTTTTTACCCCATTTCATATGGAGTGATGCTCTGTCATTCTGAACACAAGGGTGAGGGCAAAGACTATGCCCTGGATGATATGACAGATTTTGTAGATCCCCATGGAGGGGCTCATCCTCCATGGGGAGCAGAGTGGGAATGGGGTGGTGGGTTGAAAGGGTTGGTGGGGGGTGTGGGAGGAGGGGAGTGAGAGGGACCTAGGATTGACATGTGAAGCAAGCTTATTTCTAATTAAAAAAAATAGATAAATTAAAATTTAAAAATGTTTTGCTTACATGGGAGTTCCAAAAGTATAAAAACAGGCAATGGGTCTGAATATTCTAGTAAAGCATTTCAGCAATTTTGTGCTCAATGGATAACTGATCACAAAACAGGCATTCCTTATAATCCTCAAGGACAAGGAATTGTGGAGCATGCTCATAGCTCCTTGCAAATGCAACTTCAAAAAATTAAGAGAGGGGAGTTTTGTTTCTGGTCTCCACATGGTGCATTAAATAATGCACTTTTCATTTTAAATGTTTTGAATGTGGATGCCAGTGAGCAATCTGCCGCAGACAGATTCTGGCATGATGGAACTTGAGCGACTTTTGTTCAGGTCAAATGTTGAGATCCATGCACTAGACAGTGGAGAGGACCAAATTTGGTGTCCAGAGCATGTTTGTCTTTTCTCAAAGGAAGAGGACAAAGCTCAGTGGCTGCCAGAAATTTTGTTGAGGTGCATGGAGTATAGAATCTGAAACCAAAGGAGCCTGCCCAAGCCAGTTAGAGTGAGACCTGGTGAACCAGTGTTCCTGACCCTTGATGTCATTGAATCTACAGTCCAAGGAAGAAACGAAACAGTCAGTTCAAGATTTCCAGTTTCTCAACAGGCCTGCAGCATCGACTTCCTAGAACTGTGAGTTTTCATCCTGGAGCCAACAAAGGACTGGCTGACTAGCAGTTTCCCTACCACACCTGAAAACACAGAACTCTTTTTTTTTTCTTACCAGTTTTCCCTTTGCTGAAAAAGGACTCATTTAGGAGAACTGAACACTATTACCAACTGGATGAAGTGCAAAAGCCCCTCCTCAGCATTTGAACGTGCACAAAACGTTTTGCAGTCAACATTCAAGGACTGTGATATCTCAAACTTAATTTTTGAATTTTAAAACCAGCAGAGCATTCGACTTTAGATAGGGAAGATAAATAGTTCAGAATTGTGGACTTGTTCAGACTCCACCTGTCATGAGAACATTTTATTATCCTTTGATTAAATTGAAATGATGAGAATTGTTTATTGTTACTACTCATACTGAAATTGTCAATGTTTGTAGCCTTTGCTATGCTATGCATATTTTTATGGATATAAGAGATCAGAGCTCATTCTGACAGGAATGTGATGTGTACTTTATAAGTCTTTGGGTATATGTGTAAATAGAAAGGCAGATTTAGACTTTGATACAGCCAGAGACACCGGAGACATTCCCACACCAGTTTCAAAAGCCCATTTTAACTTGGTTCATCTGCTCCTTTTGCAGGAGATTGTTGCAGCCGTGGGAGCACAAATGTTGCTTGGCATTTATATCAAGTTTGCTTGTGAGATCTCATTGAAAAATTAGCTTAGAGATGCTTGGCATTGAGCTGTGTTCCACCCCATAGCGTTCTTTGTTACTGAGGCTGTTTCATCAGGGATGGGTAAAGTCTTCTTGCCTCCAAATAACTTAAAACCGAGCACAAAGGACATAATGCATGAGTCCAGGACAGGCAAATACTGGTAGGTTGAAGAAGACCACATAAGAGAGGAACAGCTGTCTGTCCTGTGGCAGAAGCACGGGTATTATTTTTCTAATTTAATAAGGGGGAAATGTCCGGACCAACGTAATATTTTAGAAATATGTTTCATCTGGCTATGAGTTCTGAGAGTTAAGAAATTCTATTGTCTTTTGGATGTTGGCTGATTACCTCTGGATGGCTTGGGCTCAGTGGGGAATGACTACTGTTCTTAATAACAAAAGACTTGGGTCAGGGCGAATCTACACCCACCTTGAGATATAGTGAGACATACTGATGTGGGGTACCTGAGGGTTGAGTACATGCTACTAAGGAGTGTCTCTAGGATTAAAGAAAATATTTATTATTAGCCTTTTATACATGATAATAAGTCTCTTCTGCCACTGCCCCCACCTTTGGATGGCTACTTAATATGATGAAACAATAAACTCTGGTCCTCAGTATTGAATGAGAACCCTCCTAATATGACCAGATGTGTCTGTCTCATCTTAAAGCCATTGGGTACTTAGCCTATACCATGTCCACACTCCCCCACTCAGCATCGGACATCTGTGCCCCAAGGCATTAGTCTGGAAAAGATGGCCTCTGCAGCTAATACAGACTGGACCATAAAAGGTATGAAGGATGAGCTGTGTTTGTGGAGACAGGGATCAATGGCCAGACTAAGGAACTAGACACCAATGGACTGAGACAGCAGGGTAACCAGGAAAACCAAGACAACAGAGAGACCCTTACCTTGACTTGAACCAATCTGAGTCCTGCCTTCTGCGGTTGCCTAGAGTGGTCTCAGCCTTTAGGATAGATTAGCACCAAGGCAGTGTATACAGCACTCTTTTTTGATTCCATGCTTGCTTCTTGTTTATGGGGCTGGGACAGATGGCAGATCCCTTTACAAGCACAAACCTCAGGAGAAGGTAACAGAAAACAACCCTCATGGTAGTAGGGACTGGAAAATTGGCCAGGTTAATGAAGGGTTAACTCCTAAAGTCTTAGGAAGACTGACAAACTCTACAGAGGGAACTGGCTTAGAAGATGACACCTGCAGAATTTCATTAGGATAAATACACCAAGAAGCTGCTATGGACCATTTGCAGACTGCAGGGGACCTGACCTGCAGATGGACTCTTCCATCACCAAACTCCCCCATTATCACCTTATCAACTCCTAAAACAACCAGTGCCCCCTGAGTATAGTCTCATTTCTAAGGGAAGACTGAAGAACTTCAGTTCTTTTTACTAAGGAACAATCGTGTTGTGAAGATGCCAGTCTGGGTCCCTTATGTCCACATCACCTCCATTAACCCCCAGGATGTCTCTCTCTGGACAGCACAGTAGAACTGACATGTCTGTCTGTTTCAGAGGCTTCTCCCCATCAGTTCAGAGAGGGCAGGAAGAGCAATTCCCTTTAGGTTTCAGTTTTCCTAGAGGCAGGAGGATCTCTGTGAGTTTGAGGCTGGGCTGGACGACAGCCTCCAAAACAATAGAGAAACCCTGTCTCGTAAAAACCAAAAAAAAAAAAAAAAAGAAAAAAAAGAAAAAAAAGTTTCAGTTTTCCTGAGAAGTCAGCAAGTTTCAGTTTCACTTTCAAGTTTCAGTTTCCTAGTGGTGACAGCAAGAACTTATCACAGCTCACAGAACTGCTTCCCAGCCTTTATATGAGTCCAGGCAGTGAGAAAGTCCCCCAGATAGCAGAGCTTCAAGGTGGGATTCTGAGGAGCCCTATCCTGTTGAAAACCCAGTCAACTGCTACCACCTTCACAGCAACCATGGGGTAAGGATTTCCCTGTTCTGCAGTATGAGTGAACCCAGGACACAGACATATGTTTGTGGCCAGGTCTTTCTGAGTCTGCTTATATTCCTAGTTCTGGTCTCTGTATTCTATTTCTGCTGAAGAAAAGGGAACAAGGATGCTAATTGTCCTCAGCATCTAAGGATTTTGCTTAATGGTAGTTATGTGGCCATGGGGCTGGAAGGGAGAAAGGAGGCTTATTTTAGTTTTTAAGGCTGTCTCACATGTGCAGTTCAAAATATCTGGGGGAGACTTTAGCATGCTCATTTCACTGAAGGAGAGAATTATCATTGAAACCTACAGGATTGGACAAGGCACTGCTCTACCCACTTCTGTAGCTCAAAAGAAGAAGCTGCTGCTATGAGTGTCCTCCTGCCCAGCTTCTGACCCCCAGTCCCTCATTTTCCTGGGATGAACCCAATTGACACCAATATCTTTTGAGATGCTTTCGAGTTTTCTGTGACAGGTGATTTCTTTCTACCCTCGACTGGATTAACCAATGGACAGGATATATGTTTTCTGTCCCCCAAAGAAAGACAAAAAAGTAGAAATTCTATTATATTTGATGAGAGATATTTAAGGCTTTCCCACAAGAAACTAAATATACCCAAATACATTTGCATGTATGTGTGCATATACATATATATGAATGCATATTTAAACACATATACATATAACAGAGAAAAATACTAAGCATGGTGGGGAGTGTTATTTATGTAAATGTCTATGTTTGAAATTCCCCTTCAGGTTTAAGGTGCCATCCAGTGGAGTTGTTTTCCCTCAAATGTAGTACTACAGTGATTGTTTCCACACTTTGGCAACTATTCGTATGTCCTTCAACATAAAACCATTTATAGTAAATGAGTACGGAGGAGGCTGAGAGCTGCTGTTATAGGATGAGACAGAACACAGAGATCACAGTGAAAAAAAATCCACAGCAACAACTGTGGAACGAAGTGAACTAGAGAGCATGATGCAGTAAGACATGTCAGGTGACAGTCATGGTCAATGGGTCAGTGACAAAGCTGTTCCTGGGTCTCCAAACCCCATCTCTCCAGCCGGTGGCTAGGACAATGTTGTGCAAATGAGTGCCTGCAGCATGAGAAATGCTGGAGCTCTCCATCTGCACTGGGATCCTGAGCAACCACGTGGGCAGTGGGGTCCTGGCTCTTCCCTGTTCATGTTGCCCACAAAGATGGCTGCTGCCTCTGTGCTGCTCAGCTATCCTGCTACAAGAGCTCATGCACAAGGGCTGTGCCTCCCTCTTGGGACACAGATCCCCAGAAGGAGCCTGGTGAGCCTGATGACCCTGGTGAGCCTAGTCAAGGCAGGTTCCCAGGACATTGGAGCTGCCCTCCAATGGCTTTATTTCCCAAAAGAGGTTGCCATAATCTCTAATTCTAGCTGTGGGCTGCTGTAAGCAAGGAAAGCAAAGACAGACAGGGTTGAAACTGATGACCTTGGTCCATAATTACTCTTCCTACAGAAATCTGTCCATCATTTTTAAGTTCCCTGGAAGGAAAGGATTACCCATGCATTTCGCACTTTCTGTGAGAGACAGAAAGAATCAGGAAAGGACAAATATTGGGGTCTCTGCAAATGCCATGGGGGTAGAGTAACCATCTGCATGAGGCAAGAAGGAAAACGGTTGAACCCAGATTTTTTAGCCAGTGTTGTTCACACTCCTGGAGTCTAACCCCAAGTAGTGTGCTGTAAGTATATTTAAGGGCAGTACAATTTGGAACAAACTGTTCCCCAGTACAATACAATCCATTGCACACAAGGAGGCATAATTACATCGAATCTCAACTCCAAGTCCATTTCACTTCTTCTAAGAAGATGGGTTGTAGAGATAGGTTCCATGTATTATCCAGAAGAGAATTTGGTGTGGTGTCAGTCATACAAATAGCATAGAGTTTATTTGGTGTATTAGCCACCTCTCACCCTGATTTTTCAGGTTGGGGGAGACTCTGGCCATAAAGATCACCTAGACTATTGGTCATCTCAGGTCCTGCTGTGAAGCTTAGTATTTTCTGGCTCTACAGACAGAATGATCACCAAAGTGGCCTCTATTTCAAAACTTCTGGATAGAAAAACAAGCCATACATTTCTCCTATTGAAGAGACCTTCGTAAGTGTTTATCATCTCTGGTTTCCTTAGTGCTTCTCTGTGGGGACAAGAATCTCTGTGCTCTGAACAGACAGACACAGAGACAGAAGGGAGAAATACAGAGAGTTGGAGACAGAGGGAGAGACAGACAGACAGAGATACAGACAGACAGGCAAATTTAGAAAACAGAAATGTCTTTCCCTTTTTCTAGTGTGGTTTATCAAATGTTAGAGGTCAAGACCTCAGTCCAGGACCAACTGACAAACATTCGCAGGGGCACTTTTCAAATATCCACATTCTGGTGTCCAGCTTCAATGAACTAGGCCAGTGACACATGATTAGAAACAGAAACAGAGACATAGTTCTCCAGAAATTAAATACATTATCTAGCAGAGGAACCAGTCCAAAGAACACCGGGCAATGAGGCTCATGAGATGGCATGGACAAAGAACCCTGTCTCTTCTCCAGGTTGGTACATCAAGGACATTTCAAGCATCCTCTGTCCATTCCTTGAAATCTAGGCAAGGAAGGGTTGCTACTGTTCCTCTGCAACTTGGCTTGGTTCATGGTCACTGGTGCTACTTTCTCTATGGCTTCCAATCTCAACTCACTCTCCTTAAGATCTGAACTGCCATGTGATAGGAAGAAGGAAGTTTCACAATTGTTTCACTTGCAGACTTAGAACAGTGCTGGACAGGTGGCTCAGTTGGTAAAGGGCTTGTCTGGTCAGCATGAGGATTGCAACCTCAGTGCTATTACTGAGAGAAGAGCTGCAATACACTTGGCTTTCCATCTCCAAAAACAAGCAAGTGAAGACCAGGGCCTAATACTGCTCTCTCACCTTCATATGCATGCCTTGGCATTAGCACGAATTACACACTAACATACACACACACACACACACACACACACACACACACACACAATGTCAGATGTAAAGGGGAGAGTATGGAAAGAACAAGGCTTAGAAAAAGCCCCTAAAGTAAAGTCATTTGCTGGTTGCTATGACTGCTTTAAACATTTGTTTTTGATTTTCCTTAATTCCCTTAATGCAGTCTCCCACATGATACTTTGCTTATTTTTGAGATTAGAATCTAATTACATTTCTCCCCTTCCTTTCCCCTTTCAAGCCCCTCACATATTACCCTCCTTGCTGCTCTAAAAATCCATGGCCTCCTTTTTTCATATATAAACGTACGTGTGTGTGTGTGTGTGTGTGTGTGTGTGTGTGTTTGTGTGTGTGTGCCTACATACACATATACTCCTAAATATAACATGTCCTGTCCATAGAATATTTCTTGTTATGTTTGAGATCAAGGTTGGACATCCGGCACTGGACAACCAATGGCTGTGCTCTTCTCTGAGGAACACCACCTCTGCAACTCCCAGCCCCATAGTTTGTTCATTGTTCCTTATGTACAGTTGAGGCTTCATGAGCTTTTCCCTCTCTGGTTTGATATGTTTCCTGTTCACTGTGGTCATCCTTATTCAGCTCAAATTTGTCACTCATATTGGTGAAATTTTCAAAAGAATTGGAGATGAGCTCTATCTCTGGTCTTATGTAGAGAAATGGCGTTCCCTTTAATAACATAGGTAGTTCTGTAACCCCAAAGCCCCTGTCTCAAAGTACTTACTTCCCGATTCTAAGTTCTAAGACTCTACTTTTAGTGAAAAAGAGTAACTTTCCTTTTCATTTTCTATCTCCTTTTCCAGAATGCCTTGGACAAGGTTTGATCTGACATTTATAACTTGCTAGGTTACAGAAAACAAGGTTCTGTTGTGTGAGACACTGGGCCCATAGGATTTTTCTTTCATAGCCTAGGCAGAAGGACTCAGCCATGCCATCATGTTTTGTCTTGTTTTTTTTTTTATAACCCCATCATCTACCTTACTCTCTCACTGGCGTACTCATGCTGGCATTATATGTGTTGATTATAGTAGGCTATAGTAAGTCCAATTCTATGATATGAAAAACATTTGATTACTGGAGCATCTTGGAGATTTTTGAGCATATTGCTTGGTCACACAAAACTTCCTTTGAGTCTATGGTGCTGCATTCTGGTCTTGTAGTATTCAAAACAGGTGTTCATGGACCATAGCTGGAGGTTTTCAGAAAGAAGATTTATTGTGGGGTTATAAGTGGGAATTTAACTGAAAGAAAGAAGACAAAGTTCATACTGCAAAAGTGAACCAGGCAGTGGGGGGCTATCAATCATCCCCAGCACTTTGGTCTAGATGGCTGTCATTTTCTGTTTGTCTACCCTTAAGGGTTCTAAGCGAGACTGCTCTTTTAGGGTAAAGACCCAACTGGGTATCACACCTACTGCTACTCTTCTTGGCATCTGAACAATTCAAAGTCAGAGTTAGCTTATTTAAGCAAAATGGCATCTGTAGTCTGCAGTAAAGACAACTACCACAGAACCAATATCCTCTGTGTCTTGCCGCCATGGGACGATTCAAAGCTGTTTGCAATGGGGTACCTACACAAAATCTGAGTGACTAAATTCTACCTGTTATTCTTAACACTGATAGAAGTGAAGAAAACTCCCATAGAGTTTATGGTATATTTTACATTCATAGCCTCACTAATCCCCAACCCCAAATAACAGAAATGGGAATACTGATGTCATTCCCACTTCACAGATGGGTGTGGTATGATTGATACTGAGTCATGCTGTGATATACATTCAGGAAGTGTTTGTACTGCTTTATAAGAAGACAAGAAAATGCATGAAGTTTGAATAAACATTTAAAAAGTCAGGGATTGCATGTAACCACAGGAGAGGACAGTAAAGTTGGTCAGTCCGTAGAAGTCTGCCACCAAATATGCCCAGAGAAAAAGGATCCAGAGAACTGTCAAGTCTTTAGTGTCACAAGCCAGAAACAGCCTATTTGTCACAACATACCAGCACCTTGTTTGTGTCTCAAATGAAAGGGTAGACTTTGCGATGACTTTTCCTCCAAATTCGGATTTTACAGCATGGACAGATTCTATTTAGGTCAGGCTAGGTGGAACACACTTTTACACATAGGACTCAAAGACAGTGGGAAAGGAGGAATGGTTTTTTAGGGTTCCAAACCTCAGGGCAGGAGTCTGACATGTATGTTTGCGTGTCTATACTTGTGTGACTATGTCCAGTCTTGACTGAAATGATTAACTTATCCTCTAAGATCATAAGTCCAAGTGTGCGTACAAGAATGCACAAGGACTTTCTGGCAGTTCAAATAAATGGAGCAGAGGAATTGATATGAAAAAAAAAAACCAAGAACTTCTAAAGGAACAAAATGTCAGATTTTCAGAAAAGAGAAGAAGGTTGTAAAATGTGCTTTGCTTGGTGTCAATTTCTGCTCATTTCTCACATGACAAACCATCCTGCTTCTTTGTCACAGAGACCATGCTGGTGATGCCCAGGTGGAGGAGAAGCTGCTTCAGCTGAGATGCCACTTCACATGGGGACTGCTGATTGAAGACATTGACATACCTGATCTGGAAATGAGAATCTGGGAGGAGCTTGAGTTCCTAGACATCAATAACCCAGTGCGGATGCACAACCTGCTGGCCTACGTGAGGCACCTGAAAGGCCAGCATGAGGAAGCCCTGCAGAGCTTGAAAGAAGCAGAAGCCTTGACCCAGAGGGAGCAGCTGGACAAGAGAAGCCTGGTGACCTGGGGCAACTGTGCCTGGGTGCATTACCACAGGGGCAGCTTGGCAGAAGCCCGGACCTACCTGGACAAGGTGGAGAACACTTGCAAAGAATTTGCAAGCCCCTTCCGCTACAGGATGGAGTGTGCCGAGATGGACTGTGAGGAAGGCTGGGCCTTGCTGAAGTGTGGAGGACAGAATTATAGACGAGCCATGGCCTGCTTTGCAAAGGCTCTGGAAGTGGATCCTGAAAACCCTGAATACAACACTGGCTATGCTGTTGCAACCTATCGTGTAGACTTTGATGAGGACTGTATTTCTCTGGAACCCCTCAGGAAGGCTGTCAGGTTAAATCCAGGAGATCCGTATCTAAAAGTTTATCTTGCCCTGAAGCTTCAGGATGGGGGAGAAACAGCTGAAGCAGAAACACACATTAGAGAAGCTCTCAGCAGCACATCCTGCCAAACCTACGTCTTTCGCTATGCAGCCAAGTATTACCGAAGGAAAGGCTGCATAGACAAAGCTCTAGATCTCCTACACAGGGCCTTGCAGGCATCACCTGATTCTGCCTATCTGCATTACCAAATAGGGCTGTGCTACAGGCAACAAATGATCCAAATGAAGACATCCAGAAACAGGCAGCTCAGAAGGCAGGAAAACTGGCAGGAATTGGCACAACAGGCCATTTGTGAATTTCAAAGGACTGTGGAACTGAAATCCACATTTGAGATGGCATATATTTGCATGGCTCAAGTGCAGGCAGATATTCACCAATACGAAGAAGCAGAGGCAAATTTCCAGAAGGTTCTGAACATGACTCACAGTGATTATCACATAGAGCAGGATGTGCATTTCCGCTATGGCTGTTACCAGCAATTTCATCAGAAATCAGAAGACAAGGCGATCACCCACTATTTGAAAGGTTTAAAGATGGGAGAAAAGACCTTTGTCTGGAGGAAACTTCTCACAGCTTTGGAGAAAGTGGCTGAAAGACGTGCTGACCAAAATGTTCTACCTGTGGAGAGCATTGGCCTCCTTGGGTTAGTCCACAAACTGAGAGGGAACATGCAGGAGGCTCTGCTGTGCTATGAGAGGGCCCTGAGGCTCACTGGGGCAGTGAACCCTGAGTTTTGAATGCAGCTGTACTCTGTGAAGTTGATGTAGTCATCACTGAGGGTTGCTGCTCTCCTTCCTGAAGCTGTCTCCAGAACTGCATAGCTTGCTGAAATGCCAAGTTCCTAATGCATTTGCTCCTGCCACCTCTTTCTCACCACTCATTGTGGTTGTTAGATCTAGAAGGAATGTCCATCCCCACAAGTCCTGTTCACTTAATGACCAAGACCGATTTCTGCTTTGAGCTGAGTGATCACAGATCCCTTTTCCTTATGTCTGTAACTTTTACCCTCTGCCTGCCAATGTCCTGGACAAAGATGTTTTCTCTAAGATTTCTTTTTTAGGTCATCAGAATCTCTTACTACAGTATAATTTCAGAGCACAATATTTATCAACGGAGAGAGTTTGAATGCAGGAGATGTTTTACCTTACTGATAAATTATTCACAGTAATATGAATCTTAAATTTGGGCAATGTAAATAAAGCAAAGGAAACTTTCTGGGACCTTATAGACTGAGGAAGACTAAGCTTTTTCCAAATTATCTGTGTCACTGATAATGTTTTTGTATATTATGCTTTTATCCTCTCCTAAAATATATTCAATAAAATTCTTGGAAATCAAAGACCTTTCTGTTTACATTGTCAATACAATTCAAAAGAATGCAGTTGAACCTGCTTAATATTGAACTAAACTTCCTTAATGTAGATGACAAAGGTGTGACAGAGACAATGTTGACACCATTGGCAGTGGGTCCAAGACCTAACAGTAATGCATAAACTGACTTAGTGGAGCCTATCCTATATGGTTAGAAACCTTACCAGCCTAGACACAGGGGTGTAGGGGTGGAGAAGTCTCTTGGTCCTGCCTCAATTGGAAAACTACAAGGTCCTCAGTAGATAGGCCTGAGCAATAGTAAATTGTGGGGACACCAGACCTTGAGCAGAAACCCACTTCCCCTTTCGGCCTGGGAGCAGGCATCTGTGTAATGTTTACTGAAAACAATTCAGTGCTTTAAAGCTCTTCATAGGGCTCAGATAAGGGCTTGCTCACTGAAATACCATGCCTTTCACTCCTCCTAAGGCTAGATGCCTCTTCCTGTCCCCGCCCCCTGTGGTGTCTCCCTGATTCTGGGGCCAGAGATTAAACCACCAGCCAGGAGGAAAGAATGGTATGTAGATGAATGGCAGAAGTCCTTAAAAAGGGAAGCTCCTTTTTCTTAGAGAAACTTCTCCTGAGAGCTCTGCTAAGCAGACTGGGGTCTCCTCCTAAGCTGACTTGGGAAGCATAAAGTTTTCTTAAAGCAACCAACCAGTCTCTGTGTCATCTATCCCGACCACCTCGCTACATTCTTGGATGCAGGCCACACAGCAGGTGCGACAATTGGAGGATCCCACCGAGATCATGAAAGCGAGGTAAGTGAGCTGGTTCGTCTCTTTTTCTGGCCAGGGAAAGATTGGGGAAAAAAAAGAAAAGAAACCATGGGGAATAGTTCTGGGAAGCTTGAATTACAGTATCAAGTTAAAAAGTTACTTGAAGGACATGGGACTACAGTAAAGTCTAAAACCTTGGAAGGTTTTTTAAAATGGATTGAATGTGCGAGTCCATGGTTCATTACTGGGGGATACTTAAATGTCCCAGATTGGAAGGATGTTCACTATGATCTTTAGAGTCGGGTGTTGGTGGCATATGCCTTTAATCCCAACACTCGAGAGACAAAGGTAGGTAGGATGGAGGCCATCCTTGTATATAGAGCAAGTTCCAGGACAGCCTCCAAAAGGATAGAGAGAAACTCAGTTTAAAAAAAAAGGAGGGTAAAATAAGAAATAAAATAAAAAATCTCCAGTCTTTCACCTGATCCACTGAGGTCAGGAAAGTAAAGAAAAACTGAGAGATTTAAAAGACTGGCCAACAAGTAAGGCTATAAGTAAGGATGTATTAAAAAGGGGGTACCAAGCTAGGGGTACCAAATTAAATGTCTAGGCCTTTGCCTAACAAAGGTCAAAAAAAGAAAAGCGAAACCTAAGAAGTTGCCCTCGGAGGGTGGATTGGAAAATCATCCTCAATGGGAGAATGGATTAAAGATAGATAAATTTAAAAAATTGGTGAAGTTAATAAATAAGGCCAGTCTTTCACCTGATCCACTAAGGTCAGGAAAGTAAAGGAAAACTCAGAGATCTAAAAGGATAGCCAACAAGTAAGGCTATAAGTATGTATTAAAAAGGGGATATCAAGCTAGGGGTACCAGATTAAATGTTTAGGACCTTGCCTGACAAAGGTCACTAAAGAAAGGGAACCTAAGAGATCACCCTCAGTTGAAGGGTGGATTGGATTAAATGTTTAGGCCCTTGCCTGACAAAGGTCAGGAAAAAAAAAGGGAACCTAAGAGATCACCCTCAGTTAAAGGGTGGATTGGATTAAATGTCTAGGTCCTCACCTAACAAAGGTCAGGAAAAAAAGGGAACCTAAGATAAGAAGTTGCCCTCAGTTGGAGGGTGGATTGGAGGATCATCCTCAATGGGAGGATAGATTAAAGATGGGTAAATTAAAAAAAAAATTGGTAAAGTTAATAAGTGAGATGTTAGTATTCAGTAAAGAAAAAGACAAAGGTATATAAAATAAAAATGTTTGGTTACATTTATATGGGGTAGGTTATTGATACAAATTTAAGGTCAATTTTGTGAGTCATCTCTAAAAACTTTTGGCAAAAGCCTGGCCTTTCCACTTTGCATCTACAGAATTACAAGGAGTGGGTATGGCTGTAGCCCCTGAGTGTAGCTCCAAACTTCTCTAATGAAGAAATGACAAGGGACATACAGGACTTTTTCAACCTTTTGTTTTAATTCAAAGATTGACTAGAGTTGTTCTGTTAAAGAAGTTTCAGTTCAACAAACTAATCATAACCTAGGCAAGGAGAGATATGTATGCATGGTCTGTGTGTATGGACGTGGCCACGTCAGTATGTATGAAGTGTGAAATGTAAATGCGTGAATGTTGACAAAAGCAACTGTTCTAATTGCCTTGGATATGATTAAAGGGATACTTAAATCCCTTCAAACAGTTAAAAACTACCTAAATCGATTTAGATATAGCCAAAAGAAACATCCAGTCAGTCGGTTAATATTTTAACAAAAAATTCAAGTTAAGCCCTCAGAACCAGTCAGACAGAGAGAGAGAGAGAGAGAGAGAGAGAGAGAGAGAGAGAGAGAGAGAGGTTTTTTTTTTTCAGGGAACTGTCCTGCTGCTTTGGCAGGCCCCCACCCCCAAAGGTGTCTGTGTAGATGCAAATTAGGCCTTGTCAGCTCAGATGCAAATGAGGCCTTGTCAGCTAGTGAGAGCTACAGGTTAGAAAAAAAAAACAAAGGACTATTTGGGACATAGTATAGTTTACAATCCTTAAATGATTCTCAAAGGTACTTAATGGTTATGTCCCTTTTAAAGGACATCTACTAATACTTTCAATAGTGATCCCAATTCACCTAGATAGTTGACTAAGGAGGGTAGACAAATCCTTCTACTGTTATGGTCCAACTTCAACAGTTCAAACAAAATTTAAAAATAAAAGGGGGAGTAATGTCCCCAGTCCCCACATGATTCATTAAATAATCCACTCCTCATTTAAAAATTTTTAAAATGTAAATGCCAGTGAGGAATCTGCTTCAGACAGATTCTGACATAATGAAAGTTAAATAACTATTACTCAGGCCAAATGGAAACATCCATACACTAGACAGTAGAGAAGACCCTAATTTGGGGTCGAGGGCATGTTTATGTTTTCTTACAGGAAAAGAATAAAGCTTCAGTAGCGGTCACAACATCTGGTGAGATGCATGGAGCAGAGAAAACTGGACCTGAGACCGTGGGAGCCTGCTCAAGCCTGTCGCGTCTGCTGCGCGGCCTGTGTCCGAGAACGTGCGGAGGGTGTCAGGGATTGACAACACAGAGACTTGTTCAACAATGTAAAGAAAACTTTAAACAGGCCCCAAAAAAGGTTCAAGAAAACTTCCCAAGAAAGGCTCCCACCAGAGAAGCTTCTGCTCTCTCCTCTACCCTGGCTGGTTCTGCTCTGACCCCAGAAACTGATCTGGGCGTGGCAGAAGGGGCGATTAGTCTTTGGACAAGGTCGAGGTCAGGGTGGTTTCTGTGGGCAGGCCTTTTCCAGGAACTTATTGCCCCGGGCATTGTATTGTTTTTAGTAAACATTGTCTTACAGCTGCCTACTCCCAGGCAGAAGGGGAAGTGGGTCTCTGCTCAAGGTCTGGTGTTCCCACAAAGCCAGTTCGAGATCTCCTAAATCAGTGTTCCTGACCCTTGATGTCATCAAATCTACAGCCCGAGAAAGAAATAAAACAGTCAGTTTGAGATTTCCAGTGTCTCATCAGGCTTGCTACATCAACCTCCTGGACCCGTGAGTTTTCATCCCAAAGCCAACAAAACCGGAAGATTAGCAGCTAGCCTTTGATACACCTTAAAACAACAAAATTCATTTTGCCAGCTTTTCCCTTTGGGGGAAAAAAGACCCATTTAAAACATTTGGACATTGGTATGGACTGTGATGAGTGGCAAAAGCCTCTTTTCAGTATTTGAACAGGACATGGTCACTTGAAATATCAGACTTGGTAGTTCCTGTTTCTGGAATCAGTGTGTTTTTCTGGAGAAATGTGGTTTGTCCTGGTGCGACAAAAAGACTTTTACTCGGGTTGCATGTTCGGCTGATACTACTGACATTAAATCTACAGACTACATCACCACAGGAACAAATTGGTACTCTGTTAATAGTGCAACAAGCCTCTTGTTCATATTTTTTATAATGCTACATGTGTAACATCAATGATTGTACCTAATGTATCTGTGCAAGTGCACTCTCTAATGCTTTCCTAAGTAGATCTTAAAATGATTGTAAACTTTATCACTGTTTTGACCGTCAAATTGTAACTATAAATCACCCTTGTAGCAAAGAAAGGCTGGTGGTAGAATGCTAAGGCCCAGATCTGGGGATGGGCAGGTGACAGAGAGGCGCTATGTCAGTGGGGGTCCTAGGAATGGTAACAGTGGCAGTAGGCATTCTGGCTTCATGCTGAGTTCAAAGTGCCTTAGCCCATGGCAATCCCGATAGCCATAAAGCCTTATTACAAATGATTTTAAGGGTGGGGCTACTTCAAAGACGGGCAACCTGTGGGGAAGACCCACTCCCACCTAACAGGGGTTCAAGGTCCCCCAAAGACGGGCCAGGGAGGGTGACCCTGCTTGACCTAAGACAGGAGTGCCTCATTTAAAAATAAAAAGGGGTGAATTGTGGGGACACCAGACCTTGAGCAGAAACCCACTTCCCCTTCGGCCTGGGAGCAGGCATCTATGTAATGTTTACTGAAAACAATTCAGTGCTTTAGGGCTCAGATAGGGCTTGCTCACTGAAATACCATGCCTTTCACACCCCCTATGGCTAGATGCTTCTTCCTGTTTCCCTGTGGTGTCTCCCCGATTCTGGGGCCGGAGATTAGACCACCAGCCAGGAGGAAAGAATGGTATGTAGATGAATGGCAGAAGTCCTTAAAAAGGGAAGCTCCTTTTTCTTAGAGAGTCTTCTCCTGAGAGCTCTCCTAAGCGGACTGGGGTCTCCTCCTA